ATCCTCAGTCCGATAGATGGTCAAAGCAAAACACATCCAACCCCCCGATCAGTATCAATATATCTTTTTATTTACTCAAGCAGAAAAGCTGATGGAATGGTCTCAACCCCGTTCTTTTCTTTCTTGTGCTTGTCTATCTCTTCAATCTCCACTTGCATGATGTTGGCTAATTTCTTTCTATATCTGGTAGTCTTATGCTCTTTTAATAAATCTTATCTTGATTGGTAGACTTTATCCGGAGTAAAGAAGAATATTCTTCGATCGTGGGGGTTAAGTCTTCTTGGTTGAATACAAAGCATCGATAAGATGGATCCCAGAACTGTGTTGCGGCTCTCATCAACTGTTCATCAACCTTCACTAACATAAGCAGTGCCACATCCCGTATTTCTTAGAAAAAGATTTTTTTCTCTTCGTCTCTACTGTTTATAAATGGCTTCCAATTCTGATATATTATTCTAACTGAGATCCATATGCACTGACTGTGGTAGCACCGATATGTGACCATCTACTAAGCAATCTCTTTCTTTCCCCTAAGTACGTTCTGAATGGCTCTTGACCTCTAAGTAGCTCTTACACACAGACAACATCCTTTAGGTTTTCTGAAAGTTTTTTCTTGTTAAAGATTGGTCCAAAACAATACCCTCTAAAAATATGGTACCTATATGATGCATGCAACAAAATTGAAGACAATAAAACAAATCAATAATGTAAATAAAACAAATAAATAAAAATGAGTAAATGAATGAACATACGTCATAACAGAATATACATCGTATCCTAATTTCGATAATTTTCTCATAAAAGGGACAGTATGGCTCTATCCTAAAATTGGACCTTACGGCTCACTATATGCCGGGTTGAGATTTACATGTCTAAAGGTTCCCAAACTATTCCTCACATCATCATCCAATATATACCAGTAAGGCTCCCCAATCCTCACCCATTACAGGCTATTAATGGAAAGGGTTCAATCTGAGTGGAAGTGTTTCGCTAGCAAATGCGAAGGTTATCACCTCACGAGAGCGTAGCTACTTCACTTCCTCCTAAAAGGGATAGAGCCCGGGTCTAGAGCTCATGCATAAATATGCAAAGTGTGTGCAAATTAATGTATTAATTAAAATAACATGAATAAATCATAACCACAAAATCATACAATTTGCTTTATTCATTAACATATATATATTTTAAAAAATCAAAATAAAGGAGATTAAATGAAATGTTAAATAAAACCAATTAAATCCAATGATTCTTAATAGCGCATAATTAAAAGTTTTGGCTTGACTCTCAAATTTTATCCCCAGTGGAGTCGCCAAACTATCATAACGGATTTAGGACTGCCAGGCGTAAAATAAGTTTTAAAATTGAGAGAAATAAAAAGAGTCGCCACCAATCTTTGTTAGGGTGTGATTGGCCACCCAAAAGGTTATCCTTTTAATAAAACTATAAAAATGGGTTTAAAGTTTATCAAAAAGATAAATTTTGATTTATAAAAAATTAGGTTGGGTCCAGGAGTTGGTTACGCGTGGGGAAGGATTAGCACCCCCATAACGCCCATAAATTGGTACCATTTAATTACGCGTTATTTTTCGTGTTGGATAAAAATTGTTTTAATTTGAAATTTAACACTAATTCCCTTCACTTGAAAAAAAATAAAATTTTGCTAAAATATTTATTTAAAACTATTGGGAAAATCTTTAAGTTAAAGAATTATCTTAAAATTCTCCATCGTCTAGGCAGAATTTAAAATAACTCTTTTCGCCTAAAGATTTAACACAATAATCCTTAAAATGAAATAACAATCTTTATAAAAAATAATTGTTAGTGACTCTCCAACATCTAGGCAGAGTACCAAGAATTATTTCTTTCGAAATGTTATTTTTGTTTTATTTTATCATATCACAAAAAGATTTTTTTTTCTTTTTTTTAAAGTATTATCCTTTTTTTTTGTTTTTTACTATAAAATATTTTATCATCGAATAGCAAATTAAATAGAGAATAATGCAATCAATTATCGATGATAACATGCCAACGTATGTATGCTAATGAATGTCATTTATAATGAAATGCAATTTAAGAGTTGGATTCTTAAGTATAATGAGACCTCCCCGACTCTCTAACATTTAGGCAGAGTTTAGGGGCGACTGTTTATATTTTAGATCCCAATTTTATTATACCTTTATTTATTAATCTTATTATTAATGTGAATTAAGAACTCGTGTAAAAACACTTAACGAAGTAAAATTTCTTAAATACCCTATCATCTAGGTAGCATTCGGGAATAAATTGCTTCAAATAGAATTTTTACACATGTCCTTAGGATTTTTAGGACTTTGGATTTTAAGAGGTTTTGAATCTTAAGGGATTTTTTATTTTTAGGGGTTTTAAAACTTAAGATTTTAAAAATTAAAAAAAAGTGTTTAGGGTTTAAGTAAAACACGAACATCTCTAAAAATCCCCATCATCTAAGCGGATTTTCGGAACAAGTTCAATTTTTTTTTTTATAATTTTTGAAAACTAATGAAAAATTTCTTATGTGTTTTTTTTTAATGAAAATTTATTCATAATAATTTTTCAACATCTAGGCGAAATTATTTGCTTGAAAAAATATTTTTTATTCCCTCCAACATCTAGGCAGGAAAAATAAAAAGCTTATTCCATTATTACTATTATTATTTAAACATTTTTAATATATTTTTTAGTTATTATTTTATATTATTTTCATTTTATTATTATTAATAACAATTAAATATTTATCCTAATAAATATAAACATTTATCATGCATAAATATAAAATAACAAAAAAATAATATATAAAAAAAATTTTAGAAAAAAAAATTTTTTTTTACTTGAACCGGATCAATCAATGATCTGGTCAACGCTGGTCCGGGCAGTCTGACCGGTTTGGAGGTTGGATCGACGGTTCGGACGATCTGATCGGTTCGACGGTTCGGACGATCTGATCGGTTCGACGGTTGGATCGACGGTTCGGGCGACCAGCGGTTCAGATCAATTCATTGACGGTTCGTTTGAATCGGTTCAAGGCTGGCTGAAACAAACCGGTTCAAGGCTGGCTGAAGCGGGTCGGGTTACGAGGATCTTGGGTCGGGTTCGGTCCACGCGCGGATCCTCTACTCTTAAAACGGCGTCATTTTGGTCCTATGCTCAAAACGATGTTGTTTTGGTCCTATGTTTTCTATAAAAGTCAGATTTTTTCTTTCCTCAGTCTATTTGGTTTCACAGAAAAAAAAAAAAGGCTCTAAGGGGGGTCTCTGGTCTCGTCGGAATCCGACGCCATGCCTGCGCCAGCCGCCGTGTGAGTCACCATCGACGGTGGTCGTCGATGACCAGAAAATGGTCAGAAAAGTCACTGAAAATTTCTCTGGACGCCTTTTTTCCAGATCTGACCTTCGCTTGGCCTGAAAGTGGCTTGACCGTCACGAATCTGTCTTCAAAGTTTCGGATCTCTCATCTTTTCTTTCTTTTTTATTTTTTGTTGTGAACAAAAACTGATTTGTCTTCCTTCTTGCAGGTAGCTTGGCGCTGGGTTCCTCCCTACAGGGAGGATTGTGTTTTTTTTTTTTACGATTTGTGTAGATCTATTTCATTTTCGGTTTAAGTTTTTTTTTTGAGGGGGGGTTGCGTGAAATTTGGTTTCTTATGCGTGGGAATGAGGGTCTGTCTGGGGCTGTTGAGAGTGTTTTGAGGGGGGAAAGAGTTCGTCTGAGCTCGAGGGTTTTCATGGGTAGATCGAATGGGTTTTCTTCTTTTTTTTTGTTAGAAAGCCCAGAGAGAAAAAGGGGGAAGAGTTCGTCCGTTGATTTTAAAGAGCTTCAATTAGGTGGGATTTGGGTGGCTGTAGGTGGGCTGAAAGAGAGCTGGTTAGAGGGCGTTAGGGGGCTGATCAGGAGCCTGACAAGGGGTTGGTCGGGAGGCTGACAGGGGTGACAGCAGCGATGTACCAACCCCTGGTTTCTGTCTCATTTCTCTTTTTATTTTAATTATTTTTTAATTTTTTAATTATTATATTTTTAAAAATATTATTATTATTATTATTATTATTATTATTATTAGTATTAATATACTTAAAATGAAAACAGTAGACCCGAACAAAATCGGTGTCTACAGTATATTAAAAAGATATTATCATATGTGAAATTATATATTGCCAAAACAACATTATTGAAAATTTGAAATGTCGAACAAAAAATTGTCACAGAAAATGAGACAAAGAAAATTTTTAATGTAATACTCCCTCTGTCTCATTTTTGTTATTCATTTTTTTTTTTTTGGATTTCTCAAAATTATAAACTATTTTTTTAGAATATTTAAAACTTTTTTTATATATTTTAAAATTATATTTTAACTTTTTAGCATTAAAAATCATAAAATTTTAATTTTATAAAAAAAATTTTAAATTTAATATTAAATACATTAAAATAAAAAACTTATTTTTAAATTTCATGAAAATAATACATGACAAACATTTTAAGGAGGAGGAAGTAATGGGTTTAAGTGGGCTTATATCATGGGTTGGGGTGGGTTTAAGTGAGCTTTTATCGTGGGTTGGGGGTGAGGTGGGGGTTTGTCTGTTGTTACACAAATAGTCACTATAATCTATAGAGGTGAATTTGATTTTAATTGAGTTAATAAATCAAATCTCTTTTAATTTGATTAATCAATCAAATATTAAATAAATTTTGATCAATTTTTAAAAATAATTTTACTGAATATGCTTTATCCTTAATAGAACGGAATAATTTGTAACATGGAATGGTAATATATAAAAATAGACATTTTATCTAAAATCACTTGTTGTAATTGTGTAATAAAGTAAATGATAAATATGGTATATGCAGGTGGCATATAATATAAAATAAATATAAAATAAATACGGTAAATGACAATCTCAAATTTTTTAAGATATTTTACTGAACTTATTCAATTGCATACATACATACACACACACACATATATATATATATATATAGCCCAACCAAATATTTTACATTCATATTAACCAAAATATTTAAGAAGCGTCATTAATTCATTCCCACATTGAGAGAATGAGTAGCAGCAGTTAAGGATTTTGACATACATACAGTCGTTATTTTAAATACATTAATTGGGATTAAATCCCAAATCACTGAACAGGCCATGTTCTTTATTCATTCATGAACGATCTCTTATATGGGAATTGATCAGTTCTTCTTGGCGCATGTTGCTGAGCAAGATTCCATACAGCTTCCAACTTTCTTTGCAGCTATGGAATTAATATAAACAAAAAAAGCAAAACAAAACCTTGAGTTTGTTGATCTTGTGTCTGTATGTTTCCAAAAGTAGAGAGGAAAAAGAAATTACCAGGATTTTCTTTGGTGCTGAAACTTGAGCACAAGGCGGTAGAACAACCAAGGTTGCAGAAGTATTGGGTGTCTTTGACACCGCCCGCAGTAGATTTGGAGAGACAGTTCTTAATGCAATCGATAGAGCAAGAGCCAGCTGTTGTTCCAGGTAGAAGAACGCATGGGACAAAGCAGGCCCCAAAGCAGATTGCTGCAACGCCAATGGGGACCACAATTCCACCTTGAGCTCTGGATTGCTCTACTAGAGTGCTCATCACCAAACAGACCATCAAGATCAGTGAGACTCCTCTTTTCTCCATTTTCCTTTCCTTTCCTTTTTCTTTTGTTTGCAGCAAGACTTACAAGATTGATATATATATAGAAAGAAATTTGAGAGAGGTTTATATAGATTTTAAATGGTAACTACATTGTGCTCGACTTCATTTATGCTTACAAATGAAAATCAAGTTAAGTTGGCAATATTAAAGAAATCCATAACACAATGCCAAGGATTGAAATTGTTTGGTTTGAATTTGCTTTATTGAGAGAAACTGATTGGTCTAATTCAACATTGGGATGACATAGGCAAAAGCCAATTATCAAAGTTCAAAATAAGTAGAAAAATTTATCCAAGTCTAAAACAACTAGAAAAAAAATTAATTCTTTTTTTGAAGTAAAACAATGCCAAAATCTTCCCTTGAGGATATGACCAATTATGTTCTTCCAATTATGTTCTCCCATTCTAAATATATGCTAATGATTATTATCCAATATAGCCATGATAAAATTTTTTAATTCCATAAACATAAATAAAATATTGCATTCCTTTTTAATGCTCTAATCGGATTTTTAATTCAAAATCATCTTCCTTATTTGTAATTAAATTGAATATATAAAGACACCAAATATATATATATATATATATATGTGTGTGTGTTTTGTAGAGTTTTTGAAATCATTGCTAATGTATGAAATAATTATAGTTCGAACAAAAATTTATAAATGGGTATAATGGGTTTTATTTTAATTGATTGCCAAAATAATAATTTCATTTTCACCACTTAAACAAGACTATAATTACCGATAAGCCCACCAATGGATCAAAGTGGCATTACATACATTATATTAACTTAAATAAACCCCGTTAATGATGTTAATTTGTGAATTGTGAATAATTGAGTTTTCTTTTTTGGCCATCAATTGAGTTTATTTTAATTTAATAAATGAAAGAAAAATGTAGGCAACTCATTGCCCTTTTGTTCCACAAAATAAGATTAGAATATATATTTTAATATACTAATGGGCTTAATTATGCTCGTATATATGCTGGTGGGGTTTTGTCAATTTTTACTGAATCCTCTTCCACTTCTAATTTCAAGTGAACATATAATGGGCAAATACTATTGATTCTGATTTTTAAAATTCAAAATAAAAATGTATTAATTATCCGTAATTCTTATCAATATAAAAATATAAAATATATTTTTTAATTTTATTAAATCATATACATAATTATTATTAAAATTTTAAATTTTATAATATATATATTTTGTATCATATTTATATTATATTATCATATCGTAATTTAGCAATGTCAAAGATTCATTAATTGCCCTAAAATAGATATATATGAACTAAACTGTTCAGTAGCCCAAAGCACAAAAACAGACGGTTTTGTATCAACCAATAAAAATTTTGACTGCCAATTATCCAAAATATCCCGATTAATTAATCTTAAAAACATCAATTAATTGCCCATAGAAATTCAATTAAACACACTTGGCACAATATTGTGCTTTGATTTTGTAAATGTCTTACCAAGAATGCTTTGGGATGACATAATCTTTAGGCATTGATTGAAATATTGTACTAGTAAAATATAAAATAAAATAAAATAAAATAAGTGTGAAATTTCAAACAAAATATGTCACACGAAATACGATTAATAATAATAATAATAATAATAATAATAATAATTGTCTTAAATGTGCTTGTTTGTATCACGGGGATTTTGTCAAATTTTACTTAATGCTCTCTCAGTCACTCCAAGTGAGATATATTAGATATACGCTATCCTATTCAAATTTTTAAAGATTTTATATTTAAATATGCCTTTAATTTTTTGCTAAAAATGATATAAATCATTAAAAATCTCCGTACAAACCAGAAAAACAAACGTGCAAGAAAAAAGAAACAGAGATTTTAGATTTCAAAGTGATCTAAACCAGGCTTGAGGATCAAAACATAGCATACAAAAGCAACTGCAACCAAGGCATATGCCAAAATGCCAACTCTAAACTATCTTACGGATTTGGCAATATATATATATATATTAAGATGTGAACCGTGACACCTGACGGGCTACTAGTAACCCGTAGAACTACCCATCCACAGTGTTGACATCAATTTTGTCCCAAAAAAATAAAAATAATATTACAAAATACGAAAAAAAAATAAAACAAAAAGAAGAAGAACAGCAAAAAAAAAAAAAATCAAGGATGGCAGTGGTGCCATCCCCGGCACCACTGCCACCAGGCTCACCACCCATCCCATACCCTGTTCATTCTATCCTACTATCAAAAATACAGAAAAAATAAAGAAGCATGGGGCTCGTGTGTACACCCCATGCCGAGCCCCATGCCTTTCCCCCCAAATATGCACGGTTGGAGCTCTATAAATAGAGCTCCTAGCCAAAAAAAAAAAAAGAGAGATAAAAAGGAGTAACGCTACAAAAATAAACTGCCAAAACACACCAAAAAAAAAAAACAAAAACCACAGTCCTCGTCGAATCGACGAAGAACCCAACGCCAGAAAGGTACCTGCAACAAAAAAAAAAAGTTATTAGTTTGAGTATTTTTTATAAAAAAATAAAAGAAGAAGAACAGAAAACTTAAAACCTCGATCTACGTCGATTGAGACCGTTTCCGATGAAGAGGAGATCAGATCTAGAAAGATCGCGTCGAAGGAACTTCCTGGTCACTTTTGAAGTTTTCGACCACCGACGACGGTGGACCAGGCGGCGGTCGTCACGGTGCACCAGAGCCCGGACGGCAATGGTGCCGGACCTCTGCCCAGAGCCCTTCTTTTTTTTTTCTCAAAAACAAAAAAATGAACTGAAACAAAAAAAAGGCTGCTTTCATAAAGAAATCATAAAAGTAAAACGACGTCATTTTGAGCATAAGGCCAAAACAACGCCATTTCAAGCATAAGAGGATCCGTGCATAGATCGAACCTGACTCGAGATCCGCGTAAACCAACCCACCAACTCGCCTCAGCCACCCTCCAATCGGTTCGGACAAACCGCCAGTGAATCGATCCGAACCTCTGGATCGCCTGAGCCGCTTATTGAACCGAATCGGTCAGACCGGTCCAGACCAGCGTTGATCGGACCGTTGACTGATCCGGTTCAGGTAAAAAAAAATTTTTTTTTTTTAATTTTATAAAGTTTTTATATATATTATTATTGTTGTTATTTTAGGTATTTTTACATATTTATGCATGATAAGTTCTTAAATTTGTTATGATAGATTTTTAATTGTTTTAATAATAATAAAATTGAAAACAAGTAATAATTAAAATACATATTAAAAATGCTAAAAAAAATTATTATTATTTTTCTTGCCTAGATGTTAGAGTGAATAAAAAATATTTTTTTAAAACAATAATTTTACCTAAATGTTGGGGAATTATTATTAATAAATTTTCATAAAAAATAAATATAAGAAATTTTTAAATTATTTTTTAAAAATCATTAAAATCGAACTTGCTTCGAAAATCCGCCTAGATGTTGGAGATTTTTAGAGATGGTCGTATTTTTTTAAAAACGAAACCTTAAACACTAATTTTTAATTTTCAAAATCTTAGGTTTCTAAAACCCCTAAAATCCAAAACCTGCTAAAATCTCTTAAATCCGAACCCCTAAAATTCTAAACGCCTAAAATCCAAACCCCAAAATTCAAAATCCCTAAAATCCAAACCCTTAAATCAAAACTCCAAACCCCAAAACCCAAATCCTAAAATCTCCAAACTCTAAAATCAAATCCCTAAACCTTCCATATCCTAAAATTCAAGCCTTAAAACCCTCTAAACCTTAAAACCAAAAATTCAAAACCTTTACTCAAGCTCTTACTCAAAACCTCTTAAAAATCCTAGATGATGGGGTATTTAGGAAATTTTACTTCGTTAAGTCTTTTGACATGATTTCTTAATTCGCATTAATAATAAGATTATTAAATAAAAATTATAATAGTAAATTGGGATCTTAAATATAAACAGTCGCACCTAAGCTTTGCCTAGATGTTGGAGAGTTGGGGTGGTCTCATTATACTTAAGAACCCAACTTTAAAATTGCATCTCATTCCACATAACATTCATTGGCATACATCCGTCAGCGTGTTACCATTGGTAATTATTTGCATTATTCTGTCTTTAATTTTCATTTACTATTTGATGATAAAATATTTTATAATAAAAAAAGAATAATACTTTTAAAAAAATTATGATATTATAAAATAAAATAAAAATAATATTCCGAAAGAAATAATTCTTGGTACTCTACCTCGATATTGGAGAGTCACTAACAATTATTTTCTATAAAGATTGTTATTTCTTTTTAAAGATTATTATGTAAAATCTTAAGCGAAAAGAGCTATTTTAAATTCTGCCTAGATGTTGGAGAATTTTAAGATAATTCTTTAACTTAAAGATTTTCTCAATATTTATAAATAAAAATTTTTAGCAAAATTTTATTTTTCCAAATGAAAGGAATTAGTGTTAAATTTCAAATTGAAACCATTTTTATCCAACACCGAAAATAGCGCGTAATTAAATGGTACTAATTTTTGGGCGTTGTGGGGGTGCTAATCCTTCCCCATACGTAATCGACTCCCAAACCCAACATGTTTTTTCACAGATCGAAATTTATCTTTTTGATAAACTTTAAACTCGTTTTTATAGTTTTATTAAGAAGATAAACTTTTGGGTGGCCAATCACTCCCTAACAAAGATTGGTGGTGACTTCATTTTATTTTTCTCGATTTTAAAAACTCAATTTATGTCTAACGGTCCCAAAATTGTTACGACAGCTTGGCGACTCCACTGGAAACTTTTGAAAGTCAGGCCAAATTTTAGTTATACGCTATTAATAGCTGTTGGATTTAATTAGTGTTATTTGATATTTAATTTAATTCTCTTTATTTTAATTTGTCAAAATATACATACAAGTTAATAAATAAAATAAATTGCTTGTTAGCTATTACTTTATTTTGATTTTGTGTTTATGATTTATTCATGTTATTTTGATTAATACATTACTTTGCACACACTTTGCATATTTATTCGCATACATGAGCTCTAGACCCGAGCTCTTTCCCTTTTAGGAGGAAGTGAAGTAGCTACGCTCTCGTGAGGTGATAACCTCCGCATTTGCTAGTGAAACACTTCCACTCAGATTGAACCCTTTTCGTTAGTAACCTATAATGGGTGAGGATTGGAGAACCTTACTAGTCTATATAGACAACGATGTGAGGAATAGTCTGGGAGCCATTAGATGCATAAACCTTAACCCAGCATATCGTAAGCCATATGAATCTTGCCGATCTTTTTATAGAAATAACCAAAAATGGATGATAAAAGAAAAGCATTTTCTTAAAAATATATATATAAATTTTCTCTTTACTTGTGGTTCATTCATTTGGTAATTGTTCAAATTTTACAATTTCATAAAGTATTTTAGAATAAAGTGATTTTTTTTTAAAGATTAT